AACGGGCTAGGGAGTTGCAGAGGGTGGACAGTGCACAAGATAAGTAAGCAGATGCTATGCCAGAATTCTGCAGCCTGCAACCAGAGTGAGTCCTTCATTTCCTGACTCTGAGGCTGCAGTTCAGTCTCTTTCATGTGACTGTGAGGCCCTGCTTACCCCCAGCCTCTCTCTTCAGGTCCCAGACACTCTGTTTTTCACTACGCTTGTATTTCTTAGGTCTCCTTTCAGTCACCACGCCCGAGAAAATTTTCAGGAATCTATTTTTGGATTAGAGATCCCCTGTTGTCACATGCCCTCTTTACAACTTATACATAACATGCACCACGTAATCATTCCTTAGCTGCTGTGTGGCTGTATTTAAGGTTTGTCTTTTCTACCAGCCTGTAAATTACCTGTTGGCTAAGATGATGCCTTTCTTGTTCTGTCCTGTGTCTTCAGGGCCCAGAATTGGGCCTATTGTAATAAGAGCTGGTTTAGTGAAAGGAGGTAAAAGGGGAGAGAGTTCCTGGCTGAGCCTGGCTGAACTGAGAAGGCCGTGCAAGGCAGAGGAGCCTGCCTGGGCCTTGGATGGCAGGGTAAGGTGCAAAATGAACAGGGGTGGGGCTGAGACTCATGCTTAGGCAGACAGGATCAAGTATTGAAACCAGCCTAGGGAGTTCAACCTTGGTTTTGAGGCTATGGGATGTCATGAAAAGCTTAAATGGATTTTGGGGACTCCTAGTTTGTTTTGATAACATTAAATATGTTCTCAAAATCATTAACAATTTGAAAAACAACTTCAGACATGGCTGGCTTAATTTTTAAACTATGAAAATATGAAGTATGTAATTATGATTCTTATGGTGAAAAAGTTCAACATGTACGTAAGAGCATACAATTTTAATTTCCCTTTTCCTACTACTTTTAATCCTACTTTTTAAATTTAATTTTTTTTTTTTTTTTAAATATAGACAAGGTCTTGCAGTGTTGCTCAGGTTGATACAGAACTCCTGGGCTCAAGCGATCTTCCTGCCTGAGCCTCCTGAGTAGCTGGGATTATAGGCCTGAGTTACCATTCCTGGCTGTCTATCCTACTTTTGATCAGTAACTTGGTTTTGGTAGCTGTCCAAAGCATAAACTTTCCTGTGCATTCAAATGTGTATTTCTGTCTTAATGTAGGTAAGGTCATACTCTATGTACTCCAACTTGCTACCCCCGCCCCCCAGTATATACTTTTTATTTTGCTTATTTTTACAGTGTAAGCGTTACTCTCTTAAAACTTAATTATCATTCATCATTGCGTTGTATAGAACCAAGGCATCTCGGACCACGTACCAAATCCTGTAAGGCCTGTCCAGAACAGGGCCATGCTGTCCATGCTCCTTATGTTGTGCTTTGCTGCTTCTTCCTTACTGCGTTTCAACTTTAGCTGACTGATATTCTTTCCCTATTAAATTGCTTCCTCATCTAGGATTTTTGTATATGCAGTTCCCTCTGTCTAGTAACTTTTCTGCCTGATCTTTTCATGGTAGCTAGGTGTTTGTGTGTGTGTGTGTGTGTGTGTGTGTGTGTGTGTGTGTGTGTGGTTTTAGAGACAGGGTCTCACTTTATTTCCCAGGCAGGAGTACAGTGGTGCCATCATGGCTCACTACAGCCCTGACCTCCTGGGCTCATGTAATCCTCCTGCCTCAGCCTCCCAAGTAGCTGGGACTACAGGTCCCACTACCACACCCAGTAATTTTTGTATTTTTTGTAGAGATAGGGATCTTGCCATGTTACCCAGGCTAGTCTCAAACTCCTACCCTCAAGTGATCCTCCCATCTTGGCCTCCCAAAGTGCTGGGATTACAGGTGTGAGCCACTGTGCTTGGCCTGGCTAGATGTCTTTATCCTTAGGTTTAAAATTTCATTCCAGAAGGGCCTTTCTGAGCAGCCTCTCTGAAACAAGTTCTCCCTAGTATTCTTGCCTCAATACTCTTTGTTTCTGTGTAACATTTATTTTGGTTATCAATTGATTTGTTTATTTTCTGTTTCTCTCATTAGTTTGTAATAAGCTCCGTGAGGGCAGAAAATGTATTTCGTGTAGTGTTGCTGGGCAGATAGTTATTGAATTAATGTATAAGTGGTTGAATAAGAACATATAGATCAACTGCATTCTTTCTAAAGGCTAATATTTCATCTTACGGATGTACTAGTCCCTTATTGAAGGCTTATTAAATTGTTTTTCAGAATTTTTTTCTTATTAAAACACCACCAACAAATTCAAAATAATGAATTTCTTTGAATGTCTGTGTCCATGCATGTGGGTATGTCTGTAGGATGACTTCCCAGGAGTAAAATTTCAGAACAAAAGATAACATGTCCTCAAACTTTTGATAGATACTGGCAATTTCTTTTAAAAAAGATTATACCATTTTCTACGATACCGGTAATATCAGAAGTGTTTAACTTTGTCATCCTGGCCATTATCAGACTTTAATTTGCTGGATGAAAAGTGAGATCTCATTGTTTTAATTTGTGTTTCTGTGATTATGACCAAGGCTGAGGATAGATATTTTCCTTTGAGAAGTGTTTTTATGTGAAGAGCTTTTAGTTTCATCTTTGGCCCAGTTTTTGGTGATGATTGTTGGTCCTTTTTTAGTTGATTCAGAGTTTGATTAAAATTTTTTTAAACTTATGATGTTATAGGCAACTTTTACAGTGATGTCACTTAGTGTCATTGAATTTGGAGCTATATAGGGCTTTTTTTTTTTATCTCTTCAAAAGTAATTTTGTAGAGCCTGATAATGAAACTTTGTTCTGAAAGACCATATTGGAGCTGAATGTATAATATTTAGTAGTTTATTACTGAACCAGTAATAGAGCTTTTAATGTCCAGTGCATAATAGACCCTCAGTAAAGAATTTTTGGATGAATGAGTGACAAGTGAAAAGTTAATTTTTAAGGCAGCTTGATTTTATTTGAAAGTTCATTTAGTAGAATTTGATTTTCATAGTAAGAAAACTTAAGCATGCTGTTAAGTTGCAAGATAAGATTGCTTTGTGGCATTCTACAGAAGTATTGGATTTGTGGCAGTGGAATTTTTAGTTTGCCGTGTCAGATACAGATATGGCTTTATATATCCACACACAGCTATAACATGTATATACAAATAAGTGACAACATATGACTGATGAATTTTTGAATTCCCTTTTAAAATTTGCCTGTTCTCTCAAGTGATGAACTTTTTAGATAGCAGTTTATTTTCTCTCATCACGTTGGAAAGAAATGTTAAAAGTTTTCTTCCAGGTTTATTATAATCGAGTCTTCATCAGCCATCACTCTTCCTGTATTTTGTTCAAGAGGCACTAATTGTTCACATTTGGCAGGTTTAACACTTCCTGACAGAGAGGCTATTAAGGGGAAGTATTCTCCAATAACTGTCACTGGCTGGAACAAAGAACCTTCCAACTCAATGTGTGGAAACCACTAACATTCTTAAATGACCCTTTTCATGGATTTTCATCCCTTTAAGCTAAAATTTGGAGAATGTAGGGTCAGCGAAAACAGCAAGGTGTAATAAAGCAGTAAACCTTGATTTTGGAAGGCATAGGGTGGGAGGTATAGATTTATCTCTGACTTGAAAACAATTGTTATTTGGAAAATCTCATTAGCAGATGTGACTGCTTGGAGTAAAAAAAAAAAAAAAACAAAAAACAACTTAAAACTGATGTCGCTTTCAGGACCGCTTTGAACTTAACAAGCACCTATTTGTGGAGCAGACTGGCTAATGAAAGGAAATTAAATTTTTCTGACAACTTCCCCTGCCAACCTCCTTATTCAGGAGATGTTATTAGGTACTGAAGACCTTTGAGGAAGATTTTTTTTTATTAGACATAAGTGAACCAGTTATAAACATCCCCTTTTTCCCCCCTTTCTTGGAGGATTCTGACATGGTTGCTCTACATTTTAAATGTATTAGTTTAAAAGCTTAAAAAACACTGGGCTTCACTTTAGCGTTTCAGTCATTTTCTAAAAATTCAGTCACACTTACCAGCTGTGGTTTCAAAACAATATTGTCAGTTGTTGTGATAGTTTAGTTTGTGTCACTGAATTACACACACACACACACACACACGCGCGCGCGAAGGAGGCTTAGATTTCAACATTATCTTTATTGTTATTTGGGGAAATGATTCAGCAGTGTCCTGTGTTGGATGTGTTAGGTGAGGGTTAATGATCAGTGAGATTACTTAGATTCAAGGGAAGTTTTTGTCTTTTCAGCTTCTTAGAGGTAGAAGTGGCATTGGTTAATATTCAGCAATAACTAATCCTTAAATGGATAAACTCTTACCCTTTACTGTCTAGGGAAGCATTTTCTTTCTTTTGCTTTTTGGAGTTTTTTTCTCCAATAGTTGGTTCATTGAAATTAAAGTTTTAATTTATGTAACAAGATACAATTGTAGAGGTAAAATATGTACCTGGTAAAAAGACGAAAGAAACAATAGAACAGAAAAGGTAATGCAGATTGCCAAAGGGATTTTTTGGAACAATTTATAATTCCTGTAGGTACTGGAAATTGACTTTTATATTTCTGGAAAATCGATCAACTGCTCCCAAACAATAGAGAATCAACTCCCCCTGCTGACAGAATCTAGGAAAACATGACGCATAATATTGGACAGAAACAAGCTGGCTGCGGACAAGCTTTAATGACCTGATTTATGATTCAGTATTGATTGTAAACATCTAAATTCTGCCATTAAATTCCGGCAACTGCACCAAATCATTGGCAATTCTGGTAGTGCTTCCTGCCAGCTCATTTCAACTGCTTTGAGTTTCTTAATATAATAATGATGAGGTAGAATTTACATTCCACTTATGGTATTAATTTTACATTTCTCTGAATGAAAAGGGTTAGAAGGTTGTAAAATTGAACATTAAATGAATCGGAGGAGACAGTAGTGCAATATATGACTGCCCTAAAGACATTGTGCAATGCCTCATGGGATTAATGTTGAGTCTCATTTCCTGCTTTTACAGGATGCAGAAGAAGCTGTCAGAATTGCAAGGGAAATTGGTAAGTCCTTAAATTAACTTTGGTAGGGTTTCTGTGTCTTTCAGCAGATATGGTTGAGTCAACAGGTAATAAGTAATTCCCATAGAGCAAATAATACTTTAATAGTTTTAGATTTTGATTACTTGTTGCTCTGGAAGAATTTATCAGTTGAATTACCAAATTCTATTATTAAAGGAGACTTTAAAGAGTAATTTGACCTTAGCTATACATAGCTCTTTTGTAAGATGAAATCACAGGCTAATTCAAAGAAGGAATTGTCTTAAGAATTCTAAAGATTGGATATAAGTTTAATGTCAATTTATATGTACATAGTTGAATGTGGTTTGTTAAAATTAAGAACATTTGGATTAAAATGAAGATACATATTTGATATAGTTCTTTAAGTTTTTGCCTTTTTCTAAGATGTTAGGTATCAACTTAATCTTGCTAAACAGGAAAGATAAAATAGATGTGGGAAATTAGAACTGAACGTTCGGAATTGGAATAAAAGGTAGACTGGAGGAGTTTTTAATGGCTGTTTTACAGGTACTTGTATTTGGGGCAGTGTTTCCCAGCTTTTTAATTTCTTTTCTTTTCTTTTTTTTTTTTTTTTTAAGATGGAGTTTTGCTCTTGATGCCCAGGCTGGAGTGCAATGGCGCGATCTTGGCGCACTGCAACCTCCACCTCCCGGGTTCAAGTGATTCTCCTGCCTCAGCCTCCCTAGTAGCTGGGATTACAGGTGCCCGCCATCACGCCCAGCTAATTTTTTGTATTTTTAGTAGAGATGGGGTTTCACTATGTTGGCCAGGCTGGTCTTGAACTCCTGACCGCAGGCGATCCACCTGCCTCAGCCTCCCAAAGTGCTGGGATTACAGGTGTGAGCCGCCGCGCCCGGCTCGCAACTTTTTAATTTTAAAAATATTCTTGGCGGTCATGAGAACTATTTTTGGTATCTGCTAATTGAGAAAATGTTTAAGGGCATGCTATTATCATGGATTAACAATATTGTTAAATAACTTTGCAGGTTTAATAATCAAATCAGTAATTGTATATATTTGACAGAAATGTGTACGGAAATGAGAGAAATTAGGCAATGCTTGTAGTCAGGGATCCCAGCATCTTCTCAGCATTCCTACACTCCTCAGTCCAAGCATCTCATCGTGCCACACAAACATTTCTGTAGGCCTGTTTTCTCATTAAGATTATTTAGATCTATTTTCTGCCTCTAGAGAGCATTTGATTTGGCAAAGTTCATATAGTTGTGATATGTAGAAATATCTTATTGGTCTGGAAGTGATCACTTGTACTAATAAGCGTGTTCTTTGCAAATGGGACAGTCTAACTTAGCAGGTCTTTAGTGACCTGAAAAGCAGTTTGGCTTGTTGCATCCTTGTTTATAGTTGGTTCTGTCTAAATTGTTTGGGCTTTGCTCATCATTAAGTGTGTTTTGTTGTTTGCTTTGCAAAAATCTATCTTATTGATATAGGTCCTGGATTTAAGACCAGACCATAGAAAATCTTATTTTAATCTGACCACCTCATCTCTTCGTTATTTTTTTTCAGAATCATTAATGTTTCACAAAGCATTTCAGTACTTCATAGGAACATTTGCTCGACTGCTAAATAAATTGGACTATATGTAACTGATTCTGTGGTTTCTTTATTGAGAAAAATCAAAAGTTTCTGTCCATGGTTTGAAATCACTGGTGTTCCTCATTGCCTAAGAGGCATGTAATATACCTACTGACTTTTGAGGACAGTTTTCTAAAATAGTTTAATTTCATCCTGTCAGACATCTTTACATTTAAAAAGCCCTTTTTCTAGTTCTAGGTTAGACGTTATTATCAACCTCAATGGATATAATAATACTGTTTTTATTATAATAGTATCTGTGTAAAAAAGGACAATATTTAGAGAAATTTGGGGACATAAAGGGATTAGACGAAAATCTACAGTTACACTGCAGTGCCACATTTTGAATGGTGAGTCTTGGACTCGCAAGCATTCCCTTTGTGTAAATGGCAGGCCGTGGATTGCTTTGCTTGCTTTCATGCCTTTTCTTCCACTTTTTTTTTTTTTTGAGACAGAGTTTTCATTCTTGTTTCCCAGGCTGGAGTGCAGTGGCTCAATCTCTGCTCACTGCCACCCCCGCCTCCTGGGTTCAGTGATTCTCCTGCCTTTGCCTCCTGAGTAGCTGGGATTACAGGCACACACCACAATGCCAGCTAAGTTTTTTTGTATTTTTAGTAGAGATGGGGTTTCACCATACTGGCCAGGCTGGTCTCAAACTCCTGACCTTAGATGATCTGCCCACCTCAGCCTCCCAAAGTGCCAGGATTACAGGCATGAGCCAACGCACGTGGCCATCTTCCGCTTTTGTTATAACCTGTGACCTTTAAGAGAACCAGTTCATCACGATGGGCCTCTCTCTAACCAGTTCTCATCACTTTGCTTTCCTCCCTCAATATTTTAATGCTGTGCTTTACCTCCTTTTCATTTTTTAAGTTTTTTCCTACTGAGGTTACCTAATCTAAGTCTCTTTTCTTTGCACTTGGGCACATCCTTTGACTCCTTTCTCTTTCCTACTCTTTCCTATCTTTCTTCTTCTTCTTCTTTTTTTTTTTTTTTGAGATGGAGTTTCGCTCTGTTGCCCAGGCTGGAGTGCAGTGGCCGTCTCTCAGCTCACTGCAAGCTCCGCCTCCGGGGTTTACTCCATTCTCCTGCCTCAGCCTCCCAAGTAACTGGGACTACAGGCGCCCGCCACCTCGCCCGGCTATTTTTTTTTTTTTGTATTTCTTAGTAGAAATGGGGTTTCACCGTGTTACCCAGGATGGTCTCGATCTCCTGACCTCGTGATCTGCCCGTCTCGGCCTCCCAAAGTGCAGGGATTACAGGCTTGAGCCACCGCGCCCAGCCTCTTTCCTATCTTTCTTCTAATTCTTCCCCAATTGCTCTCTCTCACTTGTGAAATAAATGATAGCAATCATGGCTATTAAGTATAAGAGTACTGGTGTTTTGCTTATACTGAAAGAAAGGGAAACTATAAAATTTGAGGTAAAATACACCATAAAGAACTAGAGTCATCAGCTCTTACAAAGCTTTGGAATTTCCCTGAAAATTTCTTCTGAATCACCTCAGAAGCCTTGCATAAAATCTTTTCCTTGAAGTGCTACTTTCTAAAATAAATTAAATTATGTTTTATTAAAGTCTATTGGCTTTCTATGTTGTTTGATATTTTGTAAGTTTTTTACTACTGATTTTATTGAGATATATCACATTTTAACTATGATTATCATTCCATGTGAAAATGTGTTCCTAGTTCTAAATAACTGAATTATAATCAAACCTTTGAACCTATCCGTTTGTAAGTTGTTGATTGTCCATGTGTTATACCTATTCATAGAGTTCTCACTTTTAATTCTTTCTGTGTTATGTGGTGAAAATGAAATTCATCCTGTTTTACGTGATTTCCTTCTCTCTCATGTCTTTGCTTTTCTTCTGGAACCATGAATCTATGCTGCCAAAGTATGAAACTCACTGTATTGAGCATTGATGAATTAAGTGTCTTTTACGTAATGGTAACTCCAGTTTATGGAGCATTTCTTCCTTAGGCCAGGCATTTTGGAAATTTTGTTTCTAATGCTAATTCTTGAGTTTAATTATTTTTGTTTGCATTTAAGGAAACTAATAATTAGGCAGGTAAATAATTTGCTCAAGGTCACAGAACTATTGAGTGGTGGACCCTGGTTTAAATTTAGGTTTATTTGGCTCCAAAGACCACAGATTTTTTATTATACTTTGTCTAAACTAGTGAGATTACAGGATGGCAGCTAAAATTTGAGCAACTACTTAGTGTAAAATGCTGTAAGGTACCTAAGTGTGTTATATGTGGAATTAAAGAAGCAGACAGTCTCCTATCCTTGATGAGGTGAGAGACAGTTAAGACTTAATATGTTACTTGTATGTATTTGTTTTTTGGACTACCTGGTTTCCCTCATTCTTATTCCTGATTTTTTCCTTTGACCTATCTAAGTTGAAAGATACAGAGCTATTGATCCTCAGTTTGTCTTTAACCTCAGTGATAGACAACAGTAATCTGTGAGCTTGATTTCCATTGAAGTTTGATCCTTTTACTGGACTAAAGGTCCTTAATACAATCAAGTCAAAATTGATTCTTGAAAGGAAAATAAATTGTGAATCTAAAACCTGTCCTTTAATAACTTCCAGATTATTCAGATTCTTTTCCTTTGTTTGTCTTTTTTACAGTCACAAATCATGTCCAATTTAAACAAAAACATTTTTTTTTTTTTTTTTAATCCTCAAGTCTACCATACTACAAAGCTACTTCTCCCAGAATTTCCACATCTCAATAAATGTCACCCCTTTCAGTCAGGCCAAAACTCAGAGTCTTTCCTGGATGCCTCTTTTCCTCATCATCCTATTGTAAATACATCAATAGATATTGTCAGTTCATCTTATATACTCTGTCTTCATTACCACCACTCTCCTCCAAACTACTTTTGTCTTTTGCAGGGACTATGGCAATAGTTTCTTTACTTCATTTCTTAAATACTTCACATAGCTGACAGAGAGATATTTAAACTCTTTAAAGAACAAAGACACATTTCATCTCATCCCAGCCCATTTCTGCTTTAAATTCTGTAATGACTCCTTTGAACTTAGATAAAAATCACAATTCTTTACTCTGACTACTATCCCCATATAATTTGACACTTGCTTTTCTCTCCAGTCTTATTGTATACTACTCCCTTCTTTGCCTACCGTACTTCACTCACATTGGCTTACTTGAACACAGCAAATTTCAGGGCCTTAGGGTAAGTTTTTTTTTTTTTTTTCTTTTGCAGGGTGAAGGGGGATGGCAGGACCTAGCAGACGCTTACTGATATCTTCACATAAATAGCTCCTTGCAGTCTTTCATATCTTAGCCTAAGTATCATGTCTTCAAGAGAAGATGCTCTAATACTGTCACCTAGTCATTCTCTGTCTTGTAACTATTTTCT